TGGCTACCAGAGGGTCCTGATGCACGAACTGACATTTCAGATCCCAACAGACGGAAGAAACGAGGTGCAAACGCACTTCATGGTCAGAAAGACTCAGACCGTGAAGGAAAAGCTGGACAAAGTGGATCCGTGCCTTGCCATGCAGTGTTGTTTCAAGCCTTTTGGATGTCAGCACCGCCAGCATGCCCTCCAGACAAGACCGCCAGCCCATGCCCTTTGCGTACATTCAACGTGTATTGAGTCGGAGGAGGGAACTATAACTATGCCGTCAACGTCTCGGTGTGTATTCTATGACGTCATTATATAATGTGACTCGCTAGAATATGCTGGTTCTATGGCAGAAACTCGTGTCAATTGCCGGTTTGGTGACTTTTTCTCAGTGTCCGCCCGTCAGCCGAAACTCGCCTGAAACCGAGCAGACCCGCAGCAGAGATCTCGGGCAGCCTCTGAAATCACGTGTAGAAGCCACGGACGAACAGGCTCTTCTGCTATTTCATTCATTTTCCGCGCATTGGTTTGACCTCCCAGGGTTTGCCTTCGGTTCGAAGCGGCTCCCGAAGCCTGATCCGTTGGGCCGAGGCGACTGGGCAACCCATTGAGCCTTCAACCTGCTCCCTATTACATGACTTGCCTTGGATACCTGCCATTTGCCTATGTTTGGTTGGCAACGATGCTCCTCGAATGCATTGTAAGAGAGCTGATGTCTCTGATCTGACCTTGCTGCAATGCACTGCTAAGGAACATGAAGTGCATCGTCAGGCTGATCGAAGACATTCTCAACATGGGCCCCAAGACGCACATCGATGAAGCTTGCACGCATTCTGCTTCCACACCGGAGTTCCCTTTGACGTCTGAACGACGAGGGCATCATGTGGCATGGGCGTTTGCCTAGGACTGGGCGTTTTGTGGACTTCAAGGCTCGACGCAGAAGTTGCGCCAGTGGGACCAGCGGATAGTTTGCCTGACAGAGCCGCAGTCCCAGCGAGGCTGGCTCTGCGGCGACTTCAGGGACCAAATTTATACGGACGCAGTCATGCCTCTCATCCAAGAAGCGTGCAAGTTCGATGAGGCAGAGCGCAAGATGCACGCGAGGTTGATGCAGCATTCGAAGTATGTTTGCTCATGCTGCCGCTGTGTTGTCGAGCACATCGTGCTTGCGAAGTAATCAACAAATTTTCTCGCGACCTGATATTGCAGAAGACAGATCGGCACGTGCTCTTCCGCTCAAATTTGGCTATGTCAGGGGGAATGCTATTTGATCCGGCTGGGGGCATTCCGGATGTTCCAGCATGTCGCTTGGAGGGGAAGATTGGTATCGCCCAAATCAGCAATTGTTACTTGTGTTGCTGTGTGTGTGTTGTGTGGCACACTAGTCACTAGTGTGCGAAGTGACAACTCGAATGCTTTCATGCCCACACGATCGACCACGAGGATCTGCTACTGTCGGTCTCCAAGAACATGTTGTTATTCCGTGGCCATTGTCGGTATAAGTTTCGAATTCAGATGTGTTTATCCTTCTCCGTTTTCGAGGTATCTTCGATAGCCATGGCCGACCGCGAAAATTCATTGGATGCTTTCCTATGTCACGGCCCCATCGAAGTCTTCAAAGCCCCGGTTCCGTGGTCGATGCGTGGGGCTTCGCCCGAAAATGGGCGATCTTCGATCCCGTTGGCCTACAGCGACCGGGGTTCTTCGATGTGCCCGAGGTAGCTTTCGCGCAAGAACGGCAACAACCTCACGAACTGCCCGTGCCATCCAGATTCTATCAACGAACATTGGGTCGTGCCCGATTTGATCTGCCACATGTGGTTCCGAGGTGTCTGCGACTACGCACAGACATGCAGGAATCAGCATGGATATCACTTCAAGGGCGCGATGCGAGCTGCGTTTCGGCTGCGGGTCACAATGAGACAAGACCGACCCCCAGTGCAACTCAAGTCCGACGATGGCGGTTTTTTGCGACAAATCACGCAGGGATGCAGCCCGATTGCCTTAAAGCAGTCTCGCAGATTTGCGTCGGGAGTTCTCCGGAATTGGAGGTTTGGCACTCATTTCACCTTTATGTGCCACTTCGAGGACTGAGACGTCTCGAGCGACACCGAGGAAATCCGATTTGAATATCGTCGGCAGAAGGAGGCAGTAAGTTGAACCAGACACGTGGTCGGTCAATTCGAGGAGTGTCTCCGAGGCGAGCTCCGTCGTGACCGCCGGTGGCTCCTGGCCCAATCGCACGACCACTCCGACTCGTGGACGAGGCTCCTTTCCACCAGCGACAGCAGCTGCTTCATCTTCAACAACGACCTGTCTTCAATCTCTCGCATGTGGAATCCGACTCAGACTCCACTACGGCCCCGAGCTTCGGAGGCAAAGACCGAGCTTCATTCCGCCAGGGCGATGTTGAAGCGAGGTTTTCGAACACCATCGAACTCCGCAAAGAGAGAAGCAGAAGCATCTCCACAGCCATCGAAGACACGACCGTCCCCGAGGTCATCGAAGTGGAGGACGAGCCAGCTTTGCCTCCTCCGCTCCGGTTCGCATCGGGGAAGCCTGGCGTGGAACCGACGAACTTCCGCGATGCACAGGAGTCCGGCAGTGCATCATGGCTCACCAGCGATATCCCCGAGACGGCGAGACCGGCTACATGAGATGATACGTTTGGATTCACGTTGGATTCACTACGAATCGGCCCTTCGATGAGTTCCCGTTTATGCACGGGGCCGTACAGATGCAAGTACATGTAGGGCCTACTGTACTGTGCAGCAAGGAGGCTATGTTACCTCCGGGTAGCCACCCTTGATTCGCCCTGGCAGGCATGTATGACGGGGTTATCTACCTCGAACAGAGTACCTCGATGTGTTCCTTGACGAATTTCGGGAATATACTCCGAACCGCACTGTCCTACGCGAGCGAGTTGTCCTTGTGGGGCCCCGAACGCCTGACAGCAAGTCTGGGCCCCAGAGCGACTCTGTCCTACGATGGTTTGGCAATTGATGCTGGTTTCGATGGGTGACCTCCATCACTCGAGTGTCCGACAGATCAGCACGACTTCGACAATGGTGCGTCATTTCCAACGAATGCGACCTCGCTGTTGAACGACAGTCGTGATGTCGGCCGATGTTCTCCGAGAGCAAGCCAATGCGATTTTGGATCTCCCATCCTCGACGTTGGCCCCCAACATGAGACCCTGGTTTCCGCAACAGGTCGACATGGCTCCGATCTTCCTTCTTTCGACGTCGGGCGTGAGAAGCTGTGAGTCCGACTGAGACCGATCAGACTGCACCTTCGGCAGTTTCTTGAGATGCACGATAGGGAGCCGTTCCCGCCTAGGCGATGCACGGAGCCTTGTCAGTAACTCTTGACTTGAGGCAATTACGATTTCGATCAGGTTTCGACCCGATTGTTCGGGGGGCCGCTTCCGCCTAGGCGATGTGCGGTACCTACGCATGCCACAACGAATGACTCCGATGAAATCGGATATACATCGATTGTGTCGCCGACTTCTCCTTCACTAGAGGAGCGACAGCCGCCGCAGTCATTTACTGGAAACACGTTTGTTAGGTGAGTCGCATTCGAGTGTTCGTTAGGCTCCGCATGTCTGGGAGTTAACGGAAGCTACGTCGGCCCCGATTGCCAGGATGTTGGCTGGCATCTGGAGGCAGGTCGTTCGGCGAAGTAGCGGCACCGATGTTATGACGCCGACACAAGCCAAAGAGCCCTTGAGGTCATGGCTTGTCGCTCTGCCTCCGAGAGTATGGATTGGATTACTTCGAGTCCAGTTCCCCACGGCTACCGACGAGGACTTTGAGGCACATGGTGCTCTCGAGCCAGGACGTCGATGATGGCTTTCCCCGACGAGCAGGAACAGGCCAAGCGCGTCGACCGGGTCATCGAGTAACCCAAGTACATCTCCCAGTAAGGGCTTTTTAGATACGCCGGAAGTTTGCAGAATGCACGTTTTGCTGCAAACACAGGACCAGCAAGGTCCTGCGGCGTTCGCTTGCGATGGGAGGACGCGACCACCACCGACGGGAACCGGTCTGTCCTCTTGACTTCGAACATTTCTGTGTGAAGTGTGAAAGATCGAAACAGGACTTCCAATGAAGTCCGAGGCCGCAGACAACCACCGATGCGAAAGCAGTTGGGAAGAAGGACCGTGCTCGCATCAGGGATCTATGACGAAGGTGTGAAGGCTTTGGTTGTCGTGTAGCACACGAGTGTGCGAAGTGGCAACTCCACTGCTTTCATGCTCACACGACCGACCACGAGGATCTTCAGCTGTCGATCCCCACGAACATGTTAACATTCCGTGGCCATTTTGGTAAAAGTTTCTAATTCAAGCTTTCTTTCCAACCCTCCTTACCCCAGTTGATTAATATGATTGTCGTTTGCTTTCAGTCTGCGAGATGCGGACCGGGAACGGTCGGTCGTCTTGATCTCGAAAGAAAGCAATTCTGCAAAAGATGTGAAAAGATCGAAACAGGATTTCGAGTGAAGTCCGAAATCGCAGATTACGCCACCGATGCGAAAACAATTGGAAAAAAAAACCGTGCTCGCATCGGGGATCTTTGACGAAGGTGTGAAAGCTATTGTTGTCATGTTTGGAAGTGGACGTGAATGCCTGGCAGCTGAGGAGGCGACTTGGCAGATTTACGACGCAAAGAAGGCTGGCCTGATGTCCTTGTTCATCGGCGTTGCATCGCGGAATACGACGTTCTGTGTCTGTCCTTGAGGGCGTCGTCAGGGAAGGCAAGCTCTCGACAAAGATGATGTCAAGTATCGACAGCCATCCTTCTGCTTCCTTGGAGCTGATGTTGGGGTAGGATTGTAGGATGCCATAGCCGTAGTGCTGTGAAGGACCGTAGGAGACGCGAGGAACCCACAAGTGGTGCCGACACGCGGCCATCTTGTTTCTTAAAACTGTCAGCTTTGCGCGGACACGGCAACAATTGGAGGATATTGGAGGGTCGTTCTGCGTAGCCAGATCTGCAGAGCACTGGGAGGTCGGCTTGGCGCAGCTTTGTGACCCGAAGAGTGCTGCGGAGCTTCGGGACGGTCTTGTTGCAGAGGAGCAGCCATCGAAACATCTGAGCGTCATGCCCACAATGTTTATGACCATTTCGGGCGAGAGGATCTCGGAAGGATTGTTTGGGGGACGGTGTGGCCGCCGTGGGATGCTTCTCTCAGGATCATCTTGCTCTGGCATTAGAGCTGCCAGAGCCCCGGGAAGCGGGAAGGGCAGATCCTTTTGCATCTTTTTGCACATGAAGCAACCGGCATACCAGGTGCAAGCGCTGCAGTGGCGAGCAGCAGATCTCGAGCAAGGACCCATCTCGGGCGGATGCATCCAAGCTCCAACTCTGCTCGGATGGAGCGTCAGTTGCATGCTAGGACAAACTTGACCCTCCAGATGGTTCCTGGCATATCTCTGCAGACCCAGTCAGGGAAGCGAAGGCAAGGCCAAATTGCTTGATTCAGCCGGCAGTGGTTGCCAAAAGCTTACGTCTACGGAATATCAAGGCCGTCGCTTTTCAGCGGCTCCGTCGATTCGAGGAAGCGAGACAGGAGACATCGTGCACTTCAACGGCTAACCTCCTCTTAGCATCCACCTTTCGGTGACTGACTTTGTCCTCTGTGGTGACCTGTTGCTTGCGTGCATGGTGAGATACTGCACCGAGTAGAAGTTCATCCACTACAAGAATGAAGCGGACATGGAGTGGCGAACCCGAGTCTCAGCCGTGCTTCTCAATCAAAGAGAGGCACCAACAGAGGAAATCCTTAGCAAGCAAAGATTGAGATCTCCTTACACCGCTGCGCAGCTCAGCTAACTCAGGGCCCTGTCAGCCGTCCGGGATTGCGATGAGTCTCTTGGTCCAAGTCGGCAGCACGTCTTCTGAGCCTGCACTGTGCAGCTCATCCGCCATGCTCGCTAGATGGCACTCTAGTTACTCGACTCGCTCTCGGCTAGGGTAACCAGGCGATGTGGTGGAAGTTAGGGAGCTTCTGCTCCAAAGCTACATAAAGAAAGCTACATGAGATGCGTAAACCTCATTCTAGTGATCTGGGACTTCTTGAGGCTATTTAGGACTTACTTGTTCTGCCATCGGCAATCGGCAAGGAGTACAGCATGACAGACGACACTGCGCTGGCCTTATGCCAGCAGAGCCAAGCAGCTCAGCAAGAATATCTCAGGCACCCTGAACACGTGGAGCAGCAGAGGTGACTCTCGGAGCTGAACCCCGAGCTACTGAACGAGCATTGACGGCGTTCGAGGCTAGATGCGGCAAGAGCTGGGGCAGCGCAAACGACATCTTTCATTGAGCTAAAGTTGGCAATCCCATTGCTGACCCCACCATAAGTCATTAGGCATTGCCTCGGACAAGCCGTGCAGCTGCCCGAGCCGCCTCACGCGTCCCGCTCCCCGCGTTCAGCCCCGTTAACCCAGAGTGATGGCCTCCGCAACGCAGCCCAAGAGACCTGCCGGCGGCGCCTACGGTCAGTTCATGAACGAGAGGCGTGCCGAATTCCAGAAGGAGCTGGCGGGCCAAAGGGCATCGGAGGTTGCAAAGCTCGGGGGTGAGCGCTGGAAGAAGCTCAGCGAGGCTGAAAAGGCAGTGTATCAGCAGAAGTACGACGCCGTCAAGGAGAAGTACCAGAAGGACCTGGAGGCTTTTGAGAAGGCCGGGGGTGTGAAGGAGAAGATCACTCGCAAGGGCAAAGACGAAAAGGCAAAGGGCAAGAAGGCGAAGGACCCGGATGCCCCGAAGAGGCCAGCGGGTGGTGCCTACGGTGTCTTCCTCGCCGAAAACCGCGACGAGATCATCAAGACCCTTCCGAAGGGCTACAAAGTGACTGAGATCAGCAAGGCAGCTGGTGCCAAGTGGAAAGCCCTCTCGGAGAAGGAACAGAAGCCCTATCAGGAGAAGTACCAGAAGAAGAACGAGGAATACAAAGCTGCCATGGAAGAGTACAAGAAGCTGCACGGCAAGGATGTGCCAGTGGACGATGACGAGGAGGAGGAAGAGCCCGCCAGCAAGAGAGCTCGCTTGGCGAAGGCGGGTTGCTGAGCTCCTGGGGATGGCCACGCAATCGACGGTGTCAGAGCCGGAAGCTTGGGGTGGGTGCCGTCTGAGATCGCGGTTGCACGGCCGGTCTGGTGAAGCTGCCAGCGATTCAGCAGGGGAATAAGAATTCTTATCCCTGCAGCCGGTAGCTCTTGGGATCCCGTGGACCGGATAAGGCATCCTCTTCCAACTTCCTTTTCACATTCTGGTGAACGGTGCACTCAAGCAGGAGACAGTTCATAATCCGGAGTGGGGGCCTTATCTGTTCTGCTTTCCGCAGTTGATGTGGCTGAGACCACATTATCCTGAACAGAATTGCAAAAGATCGCAGAAGTCTGGTTTGTGAGCGTCAGCTTACGTCAGCTCGAAAGTCAGTCGGTTTGGCAGGACGCAATGCGATATCCACCGCTGTACGACCTGTCTGCTCTGGAACAGCAGCAAAGCATCTACACGCCTCCCGACTGCAACCAGAAAGGCATGCACGCAATCATTGAGTTGCAGTCCGGTTGCTTGTCATCACCCGATTCCGTTGCCGAAATCCCAATCGTGACAGGTTCAACTCCTTGCAGCGGAAGTTGTACCGTCTGACACCTGGCATCCTACGGCACACACTTCGATACCGATGGGACGGCACAGCAGCCAGGCTCGACAGCAACCATGGCGAGCCTGCAGCGTGGATGCACTGTATTGCACTGTGCACACTTTGCGGAGGGCTTCGGGCTTCGCGGGCACTGTCTTTTCAAGGCCAATGTTCCTACTTCCAGGCTCTGGTCACGAAAGAGGCGGAGCCCTCACCGCTTCGGACTGCCCGTGCTTTGTCGTATCTCTACGGGAACACAACAGGCAGAGAGCAAGCACAACAGGAGGCCGAGTGGGGCCGAAATTGCCTCTCGAGGGTTTCCGGAGGATTGCTTCTGATTCTGGCAGGTGCCGGTAGTTCCCATCTCCAAGCCGCCTGACAAATGGATGCGACACCAAGGTGGAAATCGTCGCTTGTCTCAGCAAGCATGCTGCCTGCAGGGTACACACAGTACACACAGGATCTGGTGGACTGCAGCCTATGGTGGGCGACAGGACGGCCTTGTCACAAACTGTCGCCAACCGAATCCATGCGTAGCACTTCGAAGCAGGACTGTCGACCAGAGTGGTGACGGCTGCGACCGAGAAGGCTCCGCTTCTGACATGCATGGGTCGAGGATTTTGCTAGAGGCTTGAGCACTTCCGTCAGGCAACACGGCGGCTGCCAAGGTCAGGGTCTGACTTTTTGGAGATGATGTCGCTGTGCAGCTGTTGGCCGCAAGGCTGCAATGCAGCTCACGGCGCTTGAGGCGCTCCGAAGTTAGAAGCATTTCGCATCTGCACGTCCTAGCACGTCTGGAATGCAGAAGTCCGCGAGCAGGCTGATGTTGACGGGTGCAAACCGCAAGCTTTGGAGCCTGACTGGTCAGGACCGACTGCAAGATGCAGTGTGCAACATGAGGCAGCGGACCAGGCCGGATTCAGAGTCAAGCAAAGTCTTGACTTCCCATGTTCTCACGCGACTTAAGGTCCCTACAGTAGGACCTAGAAGTGACTGCAAGGCTGCGTCGTGGTCGCGAAGTTGTCTGCAATCGCTCGACAACGAGCGAGTTCCAGGCTCACGCTTGCAGATCCTCACGTGAACACGACTCGTGTGCTGATCACCCCGTTATGTAATGATACAATGATACGGTCTAGTCATTTGAGCTTGCTTTGATGTCATGTCTCATTCAGCACTCCCTCTCCGGCTTGACATTCCTGACAAGAAGCACTGGATCTTCAACATCTTGTTCCCTTTCTTTTGCTCGGAATGATTTTTCAAGCCATCGCCGGTGGGATCTCCATCGAGTAACCGCAGTTAGGCTTGATACAGCTGTTTAAAAGTTTAGCAGCTGAGCGGGAGGTTTCAAATCCAACATCCGCACACATGGCCAGGAAACCACTCTGGCGAATGCCGTGACCTTCCTTACTCCACCAATCCATCCCGTGGCAGTTGGCTGAGATGTACTCTGAGCCTGCTCTTCCAAACGCACACGATCTCTCTGGTGGTCCGAGTCAGGAAATGTCACGCTGGTCTACTCTCACTGACATGGTCAGCCTCAGAAAGACGACGAAGGCAGCCTGTTGTGCACGGCTATGCGGCTTCAGCTGTTGTTGGCTACGCTTTGCAGTCGGCTCGCCAGCATGCCAAGCATGCCAGGCCCGGCACACAAGCATGATCGATGCGATGAACCTTCCTGCAGATGCTGCCATTCCCCTAGCAGCCAAACTGGTTTCAGCGTGCGACAAACACTCTAGTGGTGATACTCTTTGGATGCTGAGGTGCTAGAAGAACCCAAGCCTTTAGGAGGACTGGAGGGGCTCCGGGTGCCATGCTCTTTCAATCGATCAATCGAATTCAGCTGTTGGGAGGCCCAGCTCTGCAGTCCGAAGAGAAGAGGGAGAACAAGGACACGTGCTGCTGTAAAGACACAATCTGGGAAAAAATACGCGAGAAATTGAATGAAGAAGGACAACATCAACAGCATCTGCATGAGCCCATCAGGTCAGCGTATTGACCACAACCCCACCCCGAAATGCCAAGAGCATGAAGGGTTCCACTGCTACGGGTGTCTCTTTCCTTCCATGAGGCCCGGGAATGCACAATAGAGCGGTATATGGCGGGCAGAGCCGACAAAAGCGCGGCTTGCCGTTCGTTGATTTGAGAGCATATCAACTCAGGCTCCCTATGTTTTCTACATTCAGGCCTCTACTAATCCTCTGGACTTTTGCACCAAAATCTTGCCGCTTCTCCTCCGGACCCATTGCTGTTTCGCTAACACGACGTCTCTCCAGAGAGCATTGGGAGAGCTTGCAGTTGCAACAACAATAACCTTAGCCTTGGGGTGTGATGGCATCTCTGGCATCCTAGCGACTCTCAGGCAATGAATACTGCAGAGTGGGCAGGGTGGCGACTGGAAGGGGATTTAGCCGCGGCGGCAGCCTGATCACCTCGGCTGCTCGAGCCTGGGCCTTGAAAGCCTCGAACAGAACTCGGCGGTTCCCACTGCGCCATCCAGAATCCAGCATTACATCTCAATGTTGGAGGGCACATTCGTTGGCCCTGCGCATCATGGGCATCGTGAAGCGCAGAAGGGACATGGGGCATTCGTTGTTGGTGTGAAGGCTTGTGGCTGGTCAATGTCGCTCGGTTGTTCTTCAAATTTCTCGGATGATACCGAAACACTGTAACGGCGCAGCATGCTGCCATCACAAGTGCCGTTGCAGGAACGGCTTGAGGAGCCTCCACCGTCCAGTGAAGCTGACCAGGCCGATGCAAGCCCTCTGCGTGTGCTGCACAGCAGTTGTAGAGATTTGCATGCTGCTTTGGAAGGCGTGTGATCCGGTCTTTGAGGAGGCTGGTCCTTGTATCAGCTGGGCCTGTCAAGCCAGTGACACTGCGTCTGTCGTTTGGTACAGCAGGAGGAGGAAGCAAGTGTCGCGCCAGATGTCAGCTACGACAAGCTCACCATGGACCGTCCAGCCGTGAAAGCATCAGACTGGAGTGCACATCTCGTGTCTTCTGCGAATCTGGATGCGCCACGGCCGATGTGCTAGAATTTCATTTTCAGTGCCGGATGTGCGTGTCATGCGCGTGTCAGTCTAAGTGATTTAGGATATCAATCTGTCACATACAACAGCCGGGGACTTTGCGTGGCAGAACAATGCAGAACAGAAACCTTTCTGTGTACTTGCTGTTGGGCAAAGTAAGTGGCCCAGGGACTACCAGTAACATCGTATCCTCGCTGCATCGCAGAATGGCAGAATGGCACGGGGCTATGCGAACGACAATCGAAACGGCATTGACTGGTGACTTGCATATCTGTGCATTGCGGTTTTGCATGTCAGCTATTGCCTGTTGTGCGTACACACCTGAATACGGTGATAGGTAGCCGTGAACGTTTGCAGAGGGCATGGCAGTCTTTTTCCCTATCCATGCCAATGAAGCTGTGGGACTCGACTGGAAGAGAAGCTTTGCATAGTATCCTGGAGACCTGGAGATGCAAAACGGGATGGATAGGACCACATGCACCATGAAAGTCGGAGCGGCTTCTATTTGCCAAAGTATGTCTTCGACGTGGCTTTTGGGCCCTCCGTGACAGCTGGCGGACGTTGCGTTGAAGGATTTGTTCCTTTGTCATGACGTGGCGAATATGGGACCAAAGGTGTGGCTGAAGGCCCACACGAATAGCATGTAGTTTTCGTCGGTCTCTATCGCCGATCGCAGTGACCCTTTCCATGCCTAAATGTAAGCAACCAAGCAGGCAAGTAAGTGTGTGTGTGTGTGTGTGCCGGTGGCGCATAGGTATCGCCGTACCGCCGAAGTGCTCATTGTCGGAAGCAGGGGTATGCCAACGAAGCTTGTCGTCCTGGAACACACCGGGAGTGGCCATCCAGGCAAACCTGCGCTGCTTGTGACATCGTAGAGCCCGCCGTGCTTGGTGGCGTATTGCTTTCCGCAATGTCTGGACGTGACAGGGGTCAGGCAAACAACCACGAAAAGCCAGCATGCAACCCCCACCAGCGCAGGACATGTCCAGCATATGCTGTGGCTGCTCTTCCTCTCAGAACTTGCGCAGCCCGCGCATAACTTAGCACAGAATGTAGCACTGTGCTCGTCAAAGAGTGACAAACGTCGATGTGCTGTTGACTGTTGACTTTTGGTTTTCTGAGGAGCAACTTGTGGCCGGAGGATCGCGAGACCCACAGCATCATGCCAGCGAGCCCGATAGCACCCAGCTCAGAACTGGCACATCGGAATCAGACTCACATTCAGGAGTTGTAGGATGTCACGCTCCGTGCGAAATGCATCAGCTCGCTCCACCCACCTCCACTGCCTGGTGCTTCTCAAGTGCTTTGCAGAGCTTATGCACAGTCTCCGGGCATCAGACAGCACTATCATGGCACGATACTGTTGTTCTTTCTGCTTTTGTCCTGTTTGCTATCGTCTGTGGTTGTTTTGCTCAAATTGAAAGCGTCGCCTGAGGCCTTGCCTTCAGCGGCCCCTTTGTTTTGTGCGTTCAGCTCATCTTCTGGACGGCCGCTTGGACGCGAAGAGCTCACGGTCGATCTCCCCACACACCTGCCAATCTTGGAAGTGCAGAGCCAGTCAGGGGAGCCAGGATGAAGCATCCGAAGCTCACATGACGAGTTCGGTCCGCATTGGCAGACGCTTCTTGGAACTGTTGAGGTTGAGCACTGCTTCCTTCTACGAGCTCCTGTGCTTTCAGGCCTTTGTCTTGTGTTCGGGAGGGGGTTCTTTTGTGGAGAAGTCTTTGAGGAGAACTATGGCTCCGCTGAGTCGCTGATCTCTCTGCTGGTCCGGGAGCGCCGCCTCGCTCAGGCGCGAACACCGGCAGTCCGAAGCGGTCGCGTTTTGCTCCCACCTGTGCCACCCTGCGCCTCCGCCCCGAGGCATGCCAGTACATCTTCAATGAAAAAGCCGACAAGCGCCTGCTCTTTCCTTGGATCCGCTAGCCCCTGCCCACTGCTTACGTTCGAAGATATCTGAGTTTTACGAGGTTTGTGGACGTCGTCGCGCATCATTGCCTGGCACACAACCAGTTCCATGAGTTGCAGAAGGCATTGTTCGAGCCTGCCGGCCCGATCGTCAGAGAAAAGCCACCGTGAATGATCGCGAATGTAGGTGATCCTCGACTTCGACCCGTCACTTCAAAAAGTGCAGGAATACTTGAACTCCGTCAAGGCACGTGCATTGCCCTGCTGCGGCAGCGCTGCGTGTCCGAGTGTATCCTCGAAGAATGATCTGCACTTCCCGTGTCAGGAATTTCTGCGTGACAGACGTGCATTGGACTTGCTGTATTCCTACGAAGCCTGCACCTTACAACGCTGCCTACAGTGGAAGTTGCAAGTTGAATCGTGTCAAGTCATGGCTTGGGATCATGAGCCCCGGAGGTCTTTACCAGAAACTTTGTCAATGCGGGTTTCCTCGCCATCTCGCCTGGAGCTCTTGCGCTCCAGCTCGAAGTGTGCCTGGGCTCTGAGAGTCTGGACTCCGGGCGAGGCTTTTCGTGCAGTCCTCCACCTGGGATGCCCGGGTCCATTCCTGAGCTGAAGAAGACTTGAATCGAGCTGGCAGACAGAGACAGAGAGAGAAGGGCAAGTCATGGAGCGGGAGGTGGGACACCTCCAAAATGCAGAAGCTCACCTTGGTTTTGCTCACCGGAAACTCTTGAGCCGAAAGCACAGCTCTCAGACACAACAGAACACAGCGACTAGCTGTGCTTGAACCCGTAGCACCAGCGAGGAAGGGGGAGGGGAAGGACGGCGCAGAACTCAGTCGACTCTTGCGGTGGAGTGGCGCTGAAGCACCTTGTGCGGAATCCTCTGCGGTTGGAGTTGGAGCTGGCTGTATAAAGGCTAAATGCCAAGGAACTGGTGATGGGACTTCAGAGAATCCCATCACGGCAGCGCAGGAGAGTATGACGGCGCCAAGGGCTCGGCAATTCGCTGCAGGCTTGGTACTAGCAAATCTGCAGAAAGGTCGGGAGACGCTGTGAGTCTGGAAGCCAAAATGGGGATCGTGGTGCGCTTATAAACGAGGGAGAGCCATCCCAGAGTCCCAGAGGCTGTGAGCGTCTCTGGCTGTGGGCTGCAGCTCTCAGGCCGACATCAAGAGGAATCTCGAAACCGTCCGGATCCAACGCGCGGTCTGCGAGGTCTGCTGCAGCCGTTTGTCGCCTTCGTAGACTTCCTAGGGCGATGTTTCCGTGCATTTCAGGCGATGCCAACGAGCATGCCTCAGAATGCCGTGCTCTTCGGTGACCTCCCGGGACAGTGCGAGGCAGGGGCGCCCTTTCCATACGAGCTGCATCCTGCTCTTGCTTTGCTCAGCTCTGTTGCAAAGAGGGGAGGCATCTGGAGTTGTCGAGGATAACAGGCAGAGCGGCAGAGCAGGAAGAAAGCTAGTCCCTGCCTCCCTGCACATCCCTGCACCAGCTTCTGGATTGGATTGGATTGGATGCGGACTGTCGTGCCAGCAGTGTGGCGCGTCCCAAAACTACGAATTCCGGGTGAAACTGTCTGGAGGGCACCGCCAATATTTTTTGGCTGTAGCCCTAGGCCCCTCAGTGGATCGGCTCTGTAGATAGGAAGAAATCCAATCAACGATCTCGGATGAGGGTTGGTATGAGGAGCAAAGGAGGCTCAGAGGGAGGTCTTCAGACCAGAAGTCGATGTCCCCGCACCTTTCGGAGGTAGTGGGCAGGCCTGGGCCGTACATGCTGCCAGGCTGTGAGAGGCCCTGGTGCACCTGCCACTTCCCTTTGCGAAGGAGTTTTTCCCTATCAGCCTCCAGCTTTTCGACTTGCCTGATTTCCTCAAGGCAGAGGGGTGGGAGCAGCTGGCTAGCTCTCCACAGGCAGTCTGGGTAACGCTTCATATGGAACTGAACCTGGCGGATGGAGCCGTACCATTTAAGGCAGGCCACACAATACACGTCATACGTATAGTGTCGTGCAGGAGACCACATGCGGTGTGCCTTGGCCTGGTGTGCCCCTAGATGCTTGCGGAACACACACCACAAATGTGAGGACACTCGGGTGGCTCGGGTACGGTGCTGTCCGCCGGGGCGACGCTCACGCTCTGCTGGCAGCAAGGAGCCTGCAGACGGTTATCAGCCCAACGGTCCAGGCTGCGCAGGAAAGCTCTTTCGGCCGATTTCACCTGACGGCCCCACCAGAAGGGGTCGCTGTGATAAGCCTCGAGGAGGCCCTCCAGCTTATTACGGGAATCTAACATAGTATAACATAGTGAAAACTTCTGGCACATAAGCTGCCACAATGTCGATGTCCTCTTCAAGCTGAGTCAGCCAAGAGCTGCTCCTGTGCTGAATCCAATGTTCATAGAGAACAGCCCGAAGGAGGGCTGGGCCATGAACTGTAATTTTGCTCAGAAAACGAGCCCTGGCCCTGGCAAGGGCTAGGGGCGGGGCAGAGGCCTGGGCTGTCCGGAGGACATCATAAGAATGCGGAGTCTTATCAGATTGCTTCCGGGGCAGCAGATATCGCCAAATTTGCACATACATTCTGTCCCATGTTCTTTGGTGCACGGCGGCAGTAAGCAGCAACGCTGCCCCTGAATGCACAAAACGCGAAATGGAGAGCGAACGCAGGAGCATGCGTCTGGTGGCAAGGGGTATGCTGCGGTTCCCAAACAAGCGTCTGCGGAGTGACTGAGCAATTCCTTGGGCGCGTGAGGCGCGAAAGAGCAAATCGGTTCGAGGGCCTGCTGAGCAATTCAAGATACTGCCAAGATGCTTGTACGCAGAAACTATGATCAGGAAATGCTGGTCCCCGGTGGCACTTTGTCGGACCCACAGTCCTTCCCGATTGTCCTGGACCTCAGCACCGTATTGCTGCCATTGGTAGCCTCCTGGTAGGAGGACCGCTGTTTTGTCATCAGCAAATGTGAGCTTCATCCCAGTGGCAGTACCTCGATCCAGGATGACCTGAGTGGTCCGGCGGACAGTCTGGAGCAGAGCGGAAGGCGTGGTCGCCTCCTGTAAGGCCGCAAAGTCATCGGCCCAGGCCGGAAAGCCGTAACTTTGATCGAGGCCTTCTGCTGCCCATTCGGGAAATTGCTGGCCCTGAGGAAGTGAAGGCAAAAGACCTTCCTCCTGCAGTTGTGCCTCAGTGGCCTTGAGGAAGGCGGAAAACGACAACGAAAACAGGATGTCGGCCGCTGGATCACCTGGCCTGGTGCCTCGTTCCGTGCAGGTAAGAACATCCCCCAAGTCCACACGAAACCACGTCGCATGGAGCATGTCTTGCACCGCTTTGACGAGATGTGGAGAAGCACCCATTTGAGGCAGGGCCGCAATGGTATCCAGCTGGGCCACGAGTTCTTCGATGGCGGTCGGGGGCAACCCGAAGGTGTGGAAAAGGCGTCGAAGAGCTTGGTCCCCTTTATCCGACGGAACAAGTGACTGCCGTACAACTCGATAGAAGGCAGCCTGCAGATCATAAAAGGTCACTCCCCACAGGCGCTTGCGGTGGTGTCTCAAGGTCTGGAAGCTGCGAGTCAACAGTGAGACCGCCTCAAGTCCAACTCCTGACCGTGCCCCTGCTTGAGTAGGGTGTCCGTGGCTCTCAAGCAGAGGCACAAGGCGGTTGCGTAACAACCGGTGCTGTACCTTGGCGGGAACGGCGGCCAGGAGGATTGAACGGAACTGGGAGCATCGTAACGCCGCCCCTGCTTTCTTTGCCAGACAAAAAAGGGAGCCTCCCCTGAACTCAACTGGTTCTTGAATCATGACCGCCGTTTTAAGGAGTGTGGGCAGGAGCTGTCTCGAAGCTAGCTGTGGGGCTATGCGAAGGAGGTCTCCAGTGACCCCGTCCGGTCCCGGTGCTTTGTTCCTATGCAAGGTCAAAACAATCTGTTCCACCTCGCACAACGATGGTAGCATGTCACGGTCGAAGACAACGGCACCAACGGTGCGGTCACAGAAATGCTGCAAATATTGAGTCTCGCTGACGACGTGTCCCGCTTCTTGCGAAGCAAAATGCTCCCTCCAACATTCCAATTTAGCTTCGGGGGTCTGGACTAGGTTCCCTTCGCTGTCCAAAACAGCTGGCAATGGGGTGAGATTGCTCCTGCGGGCTGACTTGGCTGGAGGAAAAGCGCGTCTGACAGCTTTGTACAGGGATTTAGGATCCTTAAAGTCAGCGATTTGGACCTGCTCCGTCAGGGAGGCAAGATAGGCTTTGCGGTCTTGCGCGACTTGTCTGCGCACTCTTTGTGCATAGAAGCGTAGGAGGCCGACAGCGCGAGCAATGCTATGGTCCATATCTGACAGCCAACGACTGGCCGCGGCGGCGGCTGGGTCTGAAAAGGTCCGCCCCTGTTGTAGCAGTCGCATAGCTGCGAAACCTATCATGAGCAGCCTGCGTTCGCGCTCCCTCTCCTCCTGGGAAAGATACTTGCGTAGCTCCTTTCGAGTGCGGATCAAGTCCAGGGAATCATTGGAGAGGAAGCAATGCACGGGAGCTGCATCTTTCGGAGCCTCAAGCTGGCGCCCTACAGCTGTCCAGGTATGCACAAAATGAGCGTACTGGTCATCCACCGACGCGTGCCAGGGCGCGGTGGTGAGAGTGCGTAGCAGCGCACATTGTCTCTGCTGTGCCTCATCAGTGAAGGCGGGTTGCGGCCTGACGGCACGTCTGGTAGCGGTGCGGTAGGCGCCTTCGTGAAGTTGTCGCCCATATGTCACTCGAAGCTTGACTGGGCGATGGTCTTCTCGGAGTTGCAGACTTTCAAAGTCCGTTAGCACTGTGGACTGCATGTAGAAATCCCTCCATGACGTGGACACAACGATGTAATCAAGTCGATGTGCAGTCTGATGTGCTGAAATCCAGGTGGGGCCCTCTCCAGTGTGCATGTCTGGATGAGTTGCTGGCAGAAAGCCGCCGATATCTGCCAGGAAGCTGTGGAAGAGAGCTCCCGCTTCCGTTTCTTCTTCGGCATGGTGTGGCCCTATATGTTCTGACTCGATGGATCCCACTCTGGAATTAGCATCTAGCAAAAGGAGGAACTCAGTGCCCTGCGGGCGCCGCTGCAGGTCTGCCTGTCTGTCCGCCCAAAAGGCAACCACTTCCGAACGCGGATGTTTCGAAAGAGAGGGCACGTGGGCGACCATGACAAACAAGCGCAGAAAGGGCGCAACAAGGGAGACATTGAGGTGTTGCGACGACATACCAGTCACGGTGGCATGTTCAGCACGCAGATAGAGTGGTGTACCGGCCTTGTGTGCGTAAGGCTGCGGTTTGCTCACCCACAAAGCGCAACCTCCAACTCCGAAAGCGGTGGATCCGGAGTGGTACATGAGAAAATCCTGGTGTGGCAGAAGAGCGCTGTCTGGCAACCTCGTCTCCTGTAGTCCAACGAACAATGGCTCATGTTCTTGGAGGCTACGTAACAAAACTGCTCTGCGCCCAAAAATGCGCATGCCTGTCTCAGTAGCAGGCTGTGTGTCTGCTGCCGGGCCCTGCTTGTCCCGCAAAGTCAGTACATTGTAGGAGACGGCTGTCCATGCGAACTTGATCATGCCGCAACTGGCCTGTTTTTCAGTGAGGCCTGCTTGGGGTCCACGCACTGGGTATTCCGGCCGTGTCTGCAAACGGTGGGCTTCGGATTCCAGCGCGAAGGCTGTAGGCAAGTCTGGTTGGGGCCTAACGGCAAGCCATGCCCAAGCAATCAAAGGATGTTGTCTGAGTTCACACGACCAGGAGGGGAGGCAACGATCGTGATAGGGTTCCTCATGCTGCCTGGCAAAGTTGGCAAATCTATCTGTGAGCTCGTTGGCGACATTGCCAGAGTGCCCTTTAACATGGCTGTGCCGTATTTCGCAGAGGACTGCAGCAAGCTGCCGAAGGTGACACACTGTATGCGGTAGAGAAGGACCGTAAACAGCTGGTGGGTAGGCGACGGCTTTAGTATCCCCAAAAACCCCAAAGCCTACACTAGTGGCATCAAACCTGAAGGTGACTGTGGCTCGATAGTCTGGGGCAAACTGGATAGTCCAGGTAAGCGCCCAGAACAAGGCCAGCAGTTCTGCGGTGAGGGCGGTGTTGTCGCTCTCTCCTGCATAGAACATGGTTTGTGCCGGCACTGCTGTGCCCCATGCAGCGCCATAGTAGAGGCAAGCTTCCGGATAAACGAACCAAACCGTGAAGGCCCATGAACAAGGTCCAGTGCCATCTAATTGTGCTGAGCCGTCAGTAAAGATGACAATTTCTGACGGCGCATGGCGGGGGTCTGGTTGCTGATGCCAACGCTGTATGTTGT